CACAGAGGGCGTAATCGGTATAGAAAACAAGAATGTGGTCACGATTCTCGTGAGAATAGACTTTTGCAAACATTTTCTGAAGTGAGACATCTTCGGAGGGGAGAAACAAGAAAATTCGTCGGCCAGGTTGATCTACCACAAAATAAATAAAAAACAATAATTTAACAGCCACCCGAAACAAATTCACACTATATGAACAGAAAAAAATAACAAGGAACATAAGTTTTTACTAATTCTGATTGCTGTTCTATTTTCAATGTGATGACGTTGTATTCTACTTTCAGGTAACGCGACTCAGGCCAGCATGATCGTCAACACACACAAGTAAGTACACAGGCACACAACACAGCACAAGACAACAGGTAAGTACGCCAACAAAATCATAACAATAGTTAGCGTTCGTCCGTTGCTGTTGCTTCTTCTTCGGTCCTGTGTGATCAGCACCCAATCTGACGTATGGCACCACAACCACGTCAGTCTTCCAGACGTGCCACTTTAGTCATCAGAATGCAACTCTTACTTAGGCACAAATGTGCCTGCTACGTGTCACCCCTGGCATGCCAACTCAGCAACTCGAAGAGTATGCCACGTCAGCATGTCCAGTCAAAATCATCAATGGGGTGCACATCAGCAATGTGTGTTGATGTTGTCATCGAGTAAGTCACTTTCTTGCCTGCCACGTGTATCCCCTGGTGTGCCAACACAGCAGGACTTGAGTCTGCCACGTCAACACGATAGTCCAGTCAGCATCATCAGTCGGATACGTGTCAGGAGCGATACGAGTGTGTCGTACAATGCCACGTCAGTCAAGTAATGGAGTGCCACGTTAGACAATGTCACGTCAGCCTGAAGCTACTCACTACTGTAGAAGAGTGGTGAGTCAGCAATGCCACGTCAGCACTCCTTCACAATCACCGACCATGTCAGCAATGCATCTCGATCGCAGATGCGATCGATTGGGATCTGGATGACAGCGCTATCCCTGCTGGATTTTCCCCCTGTCGGGATATCAATGCCACGTCAGCACCTGATGTGCGCTTTTCCAGACTTATTCACGTCATCTCCTCTATTGTAGGCATCACCGCTTCTTTGTCGTCATTTTATATAGGTCATCGTCGTTAGTCACATAATCGGAAGTACAGCCACGATATCAAATTGCAATGAACCCAGATCGTGAAGACACTTGTCAACAATGCAAGCTAAGATAGATATCAACCTGCTGATGATTGTCAATAACCATAATCGTGTTCGAATAGAATGAGATGGGGGAAATATACATGGGAGAATAGACTGAGAATGGAGCAGAAGACAATGCACACACCTCCTTCGGGCTCTCTCCTCGCTCGCCACCTCACCAATCAATAGTCCAAACACAAATCGAAAGTTCTATCTCAATGTGTTACGTGGCACGCCAATCAATCCTCATCAGCGAGCTGGAGTAATGTCGACGTTGAAATACTGGGTACATATCTACGATCGCCCCATGTGTTCAATGCACAGACTAAGGCATACAGTTCCCTTTCATATGTGGACTTGACGACCTTTTTTGATGGCAATCGTGCAAACATAAACTCAGTAGATCTTCTGAAACCATTACCGATTCCTAGCGAACCAGGCGAGTCTATCTCGATTGATTTTATGAGCCTCATGAAAAGCCGAAACGACAATAGTCAAGTATCTCGATTGTGGACCGTTTCTTTAAATATGCCATGTTCATTCCCTTACACGCAGAAGCGCGAACAAAACTTGTCATCCAAAAGTTTCAGATGCGATGGGTGACTGAGTATGGTTTTCCTCCCTCCATTGTATCTGATCGTGATGCCAGGTTCACAAGTATGTCATGGCAAAAGCTTATGGAAGCATACGGTACACGATTGACCATGTCCTCAGGGCGACACCCTGAAACGAATGGACAAACTGAACAAATGAACCGTTTGTGTCAACAACTTTTGCGCATGTATGTGAGACCCGATCAGATAGGTTGGGATGATAACTTACCCAGGATAGCAAGTGCATATAATAGTAGTGTTCATACCTCTACAGGACGTACGCCTAATTCACTGCACAAGGGTTGGAAACCTAAGCGTCCCATTGATGTATTAACATGAGACAAGTTCCTTAGGTTCCCTCCAGGACCCGGGAGTATGCGACATTGTTTCAAGAAGACATGAAGAGAGTAAAAAACAATTTGAAGAAAGCTCTGGACTAGATGATTGAACAAGCTAACAAGTGTCTCAGAAATTTATGCCTGTCCATTTTGGACCCTGGGAATTTCTCAAAGTAATTGGGGATGCAGAGGAACTGTCTTATCGAATTGACATTTTCCCTCACCTCAAAACGTATCCTGTCTTTCACGTGTACAAATTGTTACCCTGTGTAGAAGGAAACGAGTTTCCAAGTAAACCATCTATCATTCCGCCAGACATGGAAGGTGGATATGAAGGAGACAAAATCATAGAGCATGGGTATTTCTCTACAGGTGGACGTGGACGACCCCAAAAGCAGTTCAAGGTACGTTTCAAATCTCAGGCACCATCTAAGGCCAAATGGTTTAGTAAACGAGAATTACTTGAAACTGCTCCTGATATTGTATCTGCATATGAGCGTGGGTTAAAGTCTTAGTTATTTCTGCGATGGAACTCGAAATTGGGTCAGCAGGAATGCAGTAACCCGTGTTCTGCAGCAAGTCTGGGCCTCAAACGGAGCCCAGACAACAAAGGCCAAACTCAAACGTGTGTGTGTGTGTGTGTGTGTGTGTGTGTGTGTGTTTGAATGTGTGTGTGTGTGTGTTTGAATGTGTGTGTGTGTGTGTGTGTGTGTGTGTGTGTGTGTGTGTGTGTGTGTGTCTGCGTGTGCGTGTGCTCGCGCGCGTGTGTGCGTGTGTGTGTGTGTGAGGTTGGCCGAATCTGGACGTGTTCCACACGGACATGCAGAAAATCAGATCAGTCAATTTTTTTCTGCACATCTACACGAACGCATCCACATTCAGACGCTTATTCCAATCCTTTTTGCCAGTGGGATCTGGTTGCGACAAACGTCCAACATGCAAAATTCGAGTGAAACGACAGAAATAAAGAAGAAAATAGACACAGAGAAAAAGATGAAGACGGAGAAAGAGTAGGGAGATAGAGCAGGGAGGTATCGAAGTAAGAAGAGGACACCGAACAAGACTCGGCATTCCCGAAACGCGACCAATGGCCGAATGATAGTCCGGCATTCCTGAAACGCGACCAATGGCCGAATGATACTCCAAAAAAGGCCAAGTACATCGTAGGATAGGCATACAAACCAGGCACAGCGACCCTACGCTGCGTTTCATCCGGCCGCCAACCGGAATCATCAGGGGTCTTAGTACGTCGCAAGATCTGGCCCTAAGGCCACGCCTCTCGTCAGATGTCTATGCTGCTGTTGCTTCTGAGCTGGAGGGCAATCGGGTATCGCGATTTCCAGGGTCTATTATTTGAGGCTTCTGCTGTCCCTAATGAGTTCCATTGCTATCTTATCTGCCACGTGTCTGTCTGACTGGGTTGAATGATCTAGCTTATCACGTGGAATAGACACTCCTTGAGGATGACGCAATCACCGAATTTTCAGTGTTCTGTTCACAGATCCGTTGGGAAGGGGGGTGTCTCTTGCAAATTGCATGCAAGCGGCTTCGTCACTAAGGGCCAGATCCCACTGGCAAAGAGGATTGGAAGAAGACTCTGAATCTGGACCGTGTTCCGCGCAGAGGTCCAGAAAAGTAGATCAATCACAATTTGTCGCACCTGTCCGCAAACACGTCCACATTCAGACACTTACTAGTATCCTCTTTGCCAGTGGGATCTCGCCCTAAGTGTCCTTGGGGAGGGGAAATGATCCTTCAGCCCGCAAGTCTGGTAGCGTTTGCCTTTCGCGAGATACTCGGGCCTATGAAAAAAAAGAAGGAAAAAAAAAAAACCAGCAAAAGGAGTTCGCGCTTATGAGTACATACATATCCTCTGGGGTCGAGTCCCACAAGCAGCGTTTAGTTTCCTAAACGCCTGAATCTGGACGTCATTGTGGCTATGAGCAGTAGGGGAAATTCAACGCCATTTCTGCACATCTCGGCAAACTCATCCAGGTTCAGCCGTGGAGGAAACCCTAACCTGTTAGTGAGACTTGGCCCCGGGGGAAAACGAGGGGGAGGAGAGAGAGAGAGAGAGAGAGAGAGAGAGAGAGAGAGGCGAGTGGAGACAAGAAACAGCTGGGAGGGAAGGAGGCAGGGAAGGAGGGAGGGAGGGACGACGGAGGTGGGAGTTGTTTTCCAGCGGAAATGCTGCCACGCTGCTGCGAGTTTCTGATATTCTGCGCCATTCATTCCATTTTTTATTTTTTATTTTTTAAATGTACTGCGGCGTCACTTACTGTGGTAATGCAGCTCCSGCTCAACTTTTTCCCCCAACAAAAAAATAAAAAAGGTAATGCAGCTCCCAGCGGGCTCCTTGTCCCGGTGCCGCTGTCATCTCTTGCACTCCTACAGTGGCACTCATTTGCCCTATTGCCTGCGTCGGTGTCTTGGCATGCAAAGCGCGCCAGCGAGCTGGGTTCATCGGACAAAGGAGATCTGCATCGGCTACCTTAKCAACTGGGTTTAGGGTTGGCATCGAGTCATCGACTACAACTTGGGCGGGATTAGGGCTCGGAGGCGTTGAAGTTCCCTTGAACACGGCGACGCGGAGCCATAGCCAGTAGAGGTTAAGGGTCAGATCCCACTACCCTGGATTATTCATTTCTCACCCTCGATTACGAAGATCAACGGCCAGAAATGAACAATGGGGGCTAGTGGGATCTGGCCCTAAGCCACCAGTACCTTTGTCGGTTCGAAAATACTCGGCCTCCGACCTTTCAGGAGGCCGAAACGAAACGAAGGACGCCATAGCCACTAGAGGTTGGTTAAGGTGATGATCACTCGCAGGCTCGCAGAGCTTTCCCATTGCACTGATGATTTCAGCAACAAGCTATTGTATTGGGAACAGCGGGGCTTTCGGCGACGTTTACTGGGGATCGATCGGCGAAAATCAGCAAGTGGCAATCAAGCTGATGTCGGGCGAACTTAATCCGGCCAAGCGCCGCATGTTCCTCGCGGAGGTGAACACGTTGAGCAGACTCCGGCACGCCAACCTCGTGAAATCGTTCCATCTTGGTCTATCCCTACTTCGCAGGCGGCAGTGTGTACGCTCGCCTTCACACAAGAGAGAAAGCTGTCCCCGCTAGACCCCTTCTCCCACCTCTGACGCTGATGGAGCGATTGTGCATCGCCTTGCAGATCATCAAGGGCTTGCCCTACCTTCACGACGGTGCCGATCCCCCGATCATCCACCGGGACATCAAGAGCAGCAACCTGCTTCTTGGCGATGGCGCCGGGAAGAAGATGCGGGTCCTTGTAGCGGACTTTGGTATTCGATAGCGGACCATCAGAGAGAGGGTTCTTGGGACAGAGCACGAGACCGTGGTGAAGACGTCGCACATGGCGGGAACTTTCGGGTACATGGCGTACATAAGGTCGGGGATTTTGTCGGAGAAGATAGACGTGACACGTGTACGCCTTCGGCGTTATCCTGCTGGAGCTGCTGACGGGGAGGAAGGCGATGTCACCGTCTGGCATGGGTTGGCTGACGCTTGTGGACTGGGCACAACCTCTACTTCAGAGTGAGTCTTATTATACGGTCAATATCAGTATACTTTGGTTAATCAAATGGATATAAAAAGTACTACTACTTTAGCACCATGGGGGTAAAGAAGAGATGATGCTGTCCGAGATTGTGGACCCTTGATTGCCCGCTGTGGCAGCGGGATCGGCGGCGCTCAATCACGTGGTGATGGAGAAGCTGCGTTTGGGGGGAGAATGCGTTGTGGAGGACTACGAGTGTAGGCCAAAAATCAAGAAAATAGTGGGCACGATTGACGGCCTTATTGAGGGAGCCGACATCGCTTGACAAGACTCACAAGAGGAGAGATGATGGCGTTGAGATGTCGATAGTGGAAGAGAGATGGCGGGTCCGAGCTGAGGCATCGGCCTTGGATTGATGCTGCGAGCGCAATGAAGAGATCGCAGAAGGAGACAGTGCATGTTTCAAAGCGGAAAGAGAGGATCAAGATGGGGAAAAGTCATAAAACCTCCCCGCCACGAAACCTTTCTATCCATTTCCCGCCAAACGGGGAAAAACGTGCCGCAGGCCCCAGATTCACTATTGGTGTCATTTTTGCACCCTGGGGCAAGGTCCCACTTGCGCAGATTAGGAGATTCCGGCCGTTGATCTTTGCTATCTACGGTCAGTATCTCATAATTCGTAGCCCCTGGCTGGGCCAGTAACGGCCGCTGTGTAAAAATGGCGGGAAAGTGTGTAACGACCGCTGTGTAAAAATGGCGGGAAAGTGTTTTGCAGCAGAGTGCAAAATGATGCCAAAAGTGATTTTCGGGCCTGCTGCACTTATTAAGAGATTCTGGCCGTTGATCTTTGCTAAGTGGGACCTAGCCCCGGTTGGGGGGAAATGGATACTTCGCGGGGGTAGGTTTTATGACTTCTCCCATGAAGATGGATCTTACTTGACCGAGGGGCAGAATCAGCAACATGATGATGGATTGCAATTGAGCCGGATAAATGATTTTTGAAAAGAGGAACATTGGCGGCGGAAGGAGATGGGAGACGAGAGGAAGATTGGCGGTGGGAGGAGGGATCACTCGTCGGTGATGGGCGAGGAGAAAAGGGAGGAGAAAAGCATGGGCGGTGTGACTGGGTGCCGTGAGTGGGTTGTGGAGCAAGAGGTAGGAGTGGTTCCAGCAGGTGCTGCTCCCCACCAATAGATGGAGCCTACCCGACGCTGCTAGTCGTGTCTGCTCCTATCAGCACCCCTAGCAGACGATCGGGTTGTTTCGGGGAAAAAAAAAAAAAAAAAAAAAAAGGGAGTGGTGGAATGATAGTGTCAGTAGAGGTGAGGTGCTCTTGATTGGAATTAAAAGGGCAATGGTGAAGGGTAATGAACGGTTTCTTTCGAGCTACAGTATAGGTCAGTGTCGGACTCGTGAACGGTTGTTCATTTGGTGTTTTGCTTTTTTGAACGGCTGCATGAAAGAGTGGTGTTTTTTTTTTTTTTTTTTTTTTGGGGGGGGGGGGGGGGGGGGGGGCTCACTCAGCTACAGTAGCCTCAAGCCCCACAGCGTGATGACATTGAAAAAATGAAAAAAAATCGAAATAACCTACAACATAACAAACGAAAATGCTTATTTTGGCTGGTTGCATTTTTTTTTTTCGTTTTTATCTCGTGAAAAAAATTGAAAAAATTATGGGGAGTTACCCTCGGACGTCCCCGCCCTCCTATACCCCCGCCCCCCCCCACAAGCCAAAAAAAAAAAAATGATCTCTCTCTGAACTCCTACACTGTGAACTCCATGAACTCCATGACCGGTTTCAGTCCACAGACCCCGTGAACGGTGAACGGGGGTACGGCACTGGTATAGGTTATTTCTTAATTAATAAAGCGATGTAGTTTTTCTTTTCTTTTTTTTTGGGCCGAATAGAGCGAGGGGGCTCTTGATAGGTTAAGTTGATGACTTTGTTTGACTTGTTGCCAGTAGGCGCGCTGTGTACATGATTTCAACTGGAATGAGAAACGCAGGGCACTTCGAGCGCATTGTGTCGCAATTAGGTACTAGATCAAAGGGGTATCAAGAACCTGCCTTCCGCGGTGCGTGAACCGCACAGGGATCTGCTAACGCAAGCGTTCTACGGGAATTGACCGTCCTAGGTGTTTTTCGTTTACTCGCACAAGATGTCAACAGAAGTAAATCGCATGCCTGTTTATCATTGGCAGGACTGTGGGAGGGCTGCACGGTTGGCATAACAGGAAGAAGACCTTGGGTGATGGGTGGAAGCGCCACAGAGGTCCACCTCGATGGACTGATCTGTGAGTAGTCCTTGCTGAGGAACTACTGACTCACCAAAAGAAGAATCTGATCCGTCATTGGACAAGGGTTCTTCCTTTTCCACTTCTGGTAATTACTATAAGAGAAAACTACAGCGCAGTCAGAATTTGACTTTGAAAATGCACTTCAGGCAAAGGCCCCCCCCAAAAAACAGACCCGTTGCTTGATGATGGAGCCAGGAAGTTCTGCTGGATCGATTGATTACAGCAGCAGAGAGAAGGCCTGTTTGTTTTTTCTTAGAGTGAGTAATTATGCTCCAAGGCCTCCAATCCACCCATGGAATTTAAGGATTATGACAATTGAACTGAATCAAGGCAGAGAAGCTACTGCAATAGTGGTTGGTAGCTCTGCTGCCTGGACCGCCAGTACTTCGTAAAGTCGTGCCCGTTAACGCGCCATGATTTTAGGAAACGTACGGGACACTACAGGAGTGCCCAAATTCATCCAACCAGAAACGTTTCTACTGTATTTTTTTCGGCCGCAGATAGCTGGGCCAAGTACTGCTGGTTTAAGTGTGTTGTCTATGTTTTGTGCTTTCATTGCGTGTCGGATTACATCATTGCTTGTTTAGCGAGAAACCAGTGCTGGTGGTGACGGACGCTGACCTCCTACCTTGAGCCAAATAGAAGGCCCGGCAATTTTCGCCGTATCTGGACTGAAAGTTGCACCAAATGCAGCCATAATGACCCAGCGTTCTATTCGGATGAAGACTGTACGGATGCTGGTTCAGTGCTGCGTGGCTCTGAAATGTCAAAGTGCTGAGATTTCAGAGCCCGGCAGCAGAACCAGCAATAGGTTTTGCTGCGAATCTACCTGGCCCTGTAAAGCTGCAAGGAAAGATGTATTTTCGCCACGAACAGGGGACGCCGCCACTATTTATGCTGTGAAACTACCCCAAACGCTCAATTTTTGAAACGTACCCTTATAAAAACAATAATAATAACAATAATAATAACAATGAAACAACGAACCAGACCCCGATGTCTAAATCCTCCCTTTACTGCCAGCCGGTCCCAGCCCCACTCAAGATGCTCTTCCATAGCCATCTACTACACCTTCCTGCTACTCGGCGGAGCAGGTTATGGCGGACTCTCGGAATGAAGCTCCGATGTTCAAACACCAACAAAAGCAAATGCGTCCCTCCTACTATGGCCGCCAAGCCTAGCACTACCCCCGGAGTCTTCGCTCTAGTTTCCAACCCCAACAGGGGCCTTTCGAGAGCAGCTCCAACCCCGAACTTCAAGACGAAGATGGAGACCACCATAGCCAGGCTTGCTCCTTTGTCCCTCTCCTGGAGTCCTCCTTGCTCTCCGTCTTCCTCCTCCTCCTCCTCCTCTTCCTCCTCCTCCTCCTCCTCCTACTCCCCTGAGTCTCCTTCTCAGTCCTCTCCCCCATAGATGAGGTGCAGCCTTTGCAGGGCCAAGCCTGCGTCTGCCTCGTCCTCACTCACTGAATCAGAGCTGCTAAGCTGAGTGGCCGCTCCTGCAGCATGCATGCTCGCGAATGAGGAAGCCGCGAAGCGCTCTTCTATATACTGGACTAGTGCCTTTTCATGTGGTCTCTTGTAGGCCCGGCGGGCCGGCGGCCTCCAAGTCTGCCCAGTACCTCTGCTGCTTGGAGGGAAACATCATTGCAGTCTGTCAGTCTGATACCCCCTCCTGCAGGCTACTTGAGCGTTTGGGCCTTCGTGGGGCCTTTTCCTACGCCACTAGCCGGGCACCCTCACAGCGACACAGCCCGCAGGCCCCAGGTAAGTACCAGGCCTGCGGGCGTTCCCAGCACACAAGTACCCCAGTGAGTCACATACACACCCATGCAATCATGCTGACAGGAATGACATGGAAACGGAGCAATCACACACACACACTGTGACACAAACTCAGAAATCTCAGCAGAATACGGGGAATCTCTGCAAGTCACTCAAACATGGAGTAAAACTGAGAGAACAGCAGGTTTCTCAGTATGTGATTTTCCAGGTCATTACATCTGACAGTATTTTATGCAGCTGATAGTCCGAATCTCTGTGATACCTCAGGATTTCGACTTATGACCTGTTCCGGTCTTATAAATGCTTTCCATGTACCATTTATCCACTTGTGCTGAATCTGGGTTCTCCTTCCGATCTGTGCACCGTACTATTCCCGAATCCTCATCTGTCAGATGCATCCTGGATTCCTGGGCATATTGGCCATGCTCAACCACCTGATGATGTGGAAAAGTTGAAGTCCGACATCAATTTTTTTTTGAGCTCCTGACCTGTTCCCGTTTGATAACAGTTACCTCTGTGCACCATTCATCCACTTGGGCAGCATTTGGGTTCTCCTTCCAATGCTGTGCACTGTAGGATTACTCGTCGGTCTAATGCATTCCGGGAAGGCTGCCTGGGCTCACCCCCCCCATGAGGAAGTAAAAGTCCGATGAAACAGACTGGGACATTCATGCTTCTTCTCTGCGTTGTTGCATATAGCAAGCATGATCACACACATACACACACACACACGCACACGCACACACACGCATTTGGGTTCTCCTTCCAATGCACTGCAGAGTCTACACCATAGGATTACTCATCGGTCTAATGCATCCCGGGCAGGCTGCCTGGGCTCACACTCCCCATGAGTAAGTAAAAGTCCGATGAAACAGTCTGGGACATTCAGGCTTATCTGAGATACATATAGCAAGCATGATCACACACACACACACACACACACACACACGCACACACACGCAATGATCTGGATTGTAACTTCTTTGCTCCTCCTCATTCTGAAGTATCTTTGGACTGCTCTTTCTGAGTGAAAGCCTTCAAGACGTGCCGAATAGTCAGTAGCCGCGGCGGGAACACTTGTTTCTAGTAAATTGAATACTTGTCTTCCTTCTCTTTTTTTCTCTAGTTTTATCAAGTGGACAAAAAAACGCTGTTCCTCACACACAATAGGCAAGATTCACACAAGATAAGAACACTTGGGCACGAAACTATATACAACAGGTCTCCTGAGCCCCAATGGCTATGGCCACTATCAACAGCAAGAAAACAGCCATTTCCTCTCTCTCTCTCTCTCTCTCTCTCTCTCTCTCTCTCTCTCTCTCTCTCTCTCCTCTTATACATATA